AAATTTATTTTACGGAAGTAAAATCTATAAAAAAAGAAAAAAGAAAACATGATGCCTTTAATATACACGAGATAGCCACATTAAACAAACACAAAACATGTGAAATGTTTAATTATGAGAACTAGATTCTAAATAAAAATAGAAAAGAATAAAAAAGAAGGAAAGTAAATAAATTTGGGGCTACCACTTTAAATTGCAATTGAATGATCGAGGGCGATTTTTCCTTTTTAGTGAGAAATGGGGTGGATTTATTTATATAAGCGGTGGAAATAGCACGGCCCAACAATATTTAAATCAAAAAAATCATATTTTGACTAAAACGACATCGTTTTAGCCTTATCCTTCATGTTTTAGCCACGTCAACGTCACATAGGAGAGAAAAAATAATAAAAAATGACACGTTAACATTTTTCGTTAGCCAAATTGAACGGAGTTAACGAAAGGATTCGATTACACCAATTTGACAAATCTTAAGACTTGATTAAACTTTTTGTGAGTTTTAAGATTTAATTGGACTTCCATAACAAGTTTTTGAACTTCCGGTACTTATCCCAATTATTATTGTCAACACTCCGCTTAGGACGGTGGAGTACTTTATCCACTAGAAGATGGATGAAAAGTGGTTTCTTTTTCTAGGTGGGTTTAAAATGGCTGTATTCCCAACCCATTAAACCCATTAAGGCTCATGTGTAATTAGGCATTTATTTTCTGACCCATTTAAACTTTTTTTAAAAATTTTGGGCAACCAATTTATGTCCTGCCTAGTAAAAATGAGTTAAACCCATTTTGCCATCTCTAGGTAAGATGATGATTATCTATCATGTATGGTATTCCTTTTAATGTCCAAGCAAATCCACTCAAGCAAACGTATGCGCTTTTTTTAGGTTTTTTTAAAAAAATAAGGCCAAATTTATCAAATTTAAGTGTGGAATTTTAATTTGTTTTGTCAAGGGAAAATGACACAAATGGTTCTCAACTTTGGCCCAATATGCAATGTGATCCATGAACTTTTAATTTGTTCAATGTAGTCCTTAAACTTTGACCCAATGTGTAATATGGTTCATGAACTTTTAATTTATTCAATATAGCCCCTAAACTTTTGATACATATTCAAACTAGTCTTTAGACTATAAGAAAATGTTCAAAATTGTCCTTCCATTAATTTAAGTTCAAAGACAACGTCGAACATTTCTGTATAGTCCAGGGATTAGTTTGAACATGTATATAAAATATAGGGATCATATTGAACAAATTAAAAATTCATGGACCACATTACATATTGGGCTAAAGTGATCACATTGCACATTGGGTTAAAGTTCATGGATTATATTGAACAAATTGAAAGTTCAAGGTCCACATTGCACATTAAGCAAAAGTTAAGTGATCATTTGTATCGTTATCCATTTTGCTAGCTTATTAAAACATGTCCTCGTTTATTTAAATGGATCGATTCTAATATTTTACCCCCCCTGCTTTTGTAAAAGATCATTTTCCAAGAGGTGATCATCATCTTTGAGGCACTTGTCTTATTGTCTGGTTCTATCCTACCCAAGAGGACAGAATCTGAAGAAATGAGATGCCCCGAAAGCATATCACCTCCCCCGAACTCTTCCATGTCACCACCTGCTCTGTCTCCTCAGAATCCTCCAACCGAACATCTTTCTCTATTTTGTGAGAAGACAAGAAACGGCACAAACTTGGTGAGATTTTCCGAGTACCTAACAGCTGAAGAAGACGACTAGAGCCCAATCACTCAGACGGGTCACTGTCTCCCGAATCCCATATTCCCTCGCTCTTGCTCAGTGCTCACCGTTCGCTTCCTCTTGTTTTATTGCAAAACGTCTTGCATGCTTCAATTGATATATCGAGCATATCGATAAACCCAGTCTCTTTTATTCAGTCTACCTGGCTTCTGCGTTTTTCAATTGCTCCGACCGATCTATCCTAGGAGATAGCTCCTATTATATAAATTAGGGAAAATGACACAGATGATCCCTGAACTTTGACACAATATGTAATATGGTCTATGAACTTTAATTTGTTCAATATGATAGCTGAACTATATAACCCAATGTGCAATATGACCCCTGAATTTTCAATTTATTCAATGTGGTCTCCGGACTCTAAAGTATATATTTAATTAGTCCCTTTATTATATGAAAATGTTCAATATTATCCCTGCACTTGAATTAATGAAAGGACAACATTGAACATTTTCATATAGTTTAGAGACTAAGTTGAACATGTACCAAAAGTCCAGCGACACATTGAACAAATTGAAAGTTCCATGAACTTTGGCCCGGTATTCAATATGGTCCATGAATTTTTAATTTGTTCAATGTAGTCCTTATAGCCCAACATGCAATACGATCCCTGAATTTTCAATTTGTTCAATGTGATCTTCGGACTTTTGGTACATGTTCAATTTAGTCCATCAACTATATAAAAATGTTCAATGTTGTCCCTAAACTTGAACTAATGGAAAGATAACATCAAATATTTTCATATAGTTCAAGGAGTAAGTTGAACATGTACCAAAAGTCCAGGAATACATTGAATAAATTGAAAGTTCCATAAACTTTGGCCCAATGTGCAATGTGGTCCATGACTTTTAATTTGTCCAATTTGGTCCCTGAACTATAGCCCAATATGCAATGTGATCCCTGATTTTTCAATTTGTTAAACGCGATTTCCGGACTTTTGATACATGCTCAATTTCGTCCATAAACTATATGAAAATGTTTAATGTTGTCCATGGACCACAATGAATAAATTAAAAATTCAGAGACCACATTGCACGTTGGGCCAAAATTCACAGACCATTTGTGTCATTTTCCCTATAAATTAGCCCCAAGCTGTCTGCTTTATTCGTCGCCTATTTTTGTTTCACTCAATTCGAAAATCACTGTGTTTTCGCTTTCTACTGAGCGGCTATGACCATGCTCCAAGATATGCAAGAACTTCCGTTGCCTTTTGCTACTAGGGCCATTCTTGGTGGGCTTTCATTGTTGTTGCTTTTCCCTTTCTTCTTGAGGAAATTCGGCTCTACCAGGAAGATAAATGGCCAGTCCACTCTTCCACCTTTACCAGGTAATCTTTGCTTCTGCTGAGCAAAAAATTGGGAAAATGTGAATGCTTTTTTGTGTCTTGTGTTGATAATTTTGTGCTTTGTTTCTTTCTGGGGGACTTGAATATGATGCAGAGGTTCCTGGGTCGCCCATAGTGGGGAATTTGCTTCAGTTGAAGGAGAAGAAACCTTACATGACCTTTGCAAAGTGGGCCGAAACTTATGGCCCTATTTATTCCATCAAAACTGGTGCTACTACTACGGTAGTCCTCAATTCCACCGATGTTGCCTAAGAGGTATTACTAATGGCTAGTTAAGGACTGGAGAGGGGGCTGGTGAGGGCCGTCTCACCCTAGCCACTTGGCATTTCGTGCCATTTTATAAGATATAGCTACAATATGTGAAATTACATACAGAATTTTTAGCAAAAAAATACTACGGGTACTATAAATTTAATACGGCGCTTACTTTGATGGCATAAATTTTTAATTAATCGTTTCATTTGAGTGTCACAACTTTTAAAGCAATGTTCACTTAAATCCACCACATATCTCTGATGACAAATCCAACACGAATTTATTTTAAGAATAACTTATCTGACGCCAATTTTTTTAAAGATTTAATCTCTCTCTCTCTCTTCTCCCTCTCTTCGCAACTCCTCCAATGAAGAACAAGAAGAGAGGAAACACACAAAAATTTACACATAAAAGAAGGGAAGAACATATCTTTAACCTTAAATGGGGGTAGCTACTGTGAGATTCAATGGCGGTGGCGAAGACATTCTCGTCCCCAATGTCAACAACTACCGTGTTTTGAAGGGAAGTCAAAAAGGAATCGCTCAATTTGATCCCGATTGTCGATCTGGACCAACACCAAATCTCGACCTCTTGGGACAACATGGCAGGCCACGAGGACCACCAGCGACGCCAACTCCAGCACCTTCTCTCCAAGGGGATCCATTGGCAGCACTAGCAGGAGAAAGACTTGCCGCTTGCGGACCTTAATTAGGGCTAGGGTTATGGTTACGGAGTGGACCAATTAGCCCCAATCTTAGCCCCAATTTGTCAAATTGGGGGCAAGGAAAGGGCTAGACGATGGTTTTTATTCACGCTTTTGATGATATCATTTTCCAAGCAAACCACGTTTGGGCGATTTAATATCAAATTAATGTCACGTCAGGTTTTCCGATATTAGCCACTGCCATCGGTATTAAATGGTATTTGGTAAGCTGACCACTACCATTAGCAACATGGCCTTTAAAAATGGATAGTGTCTATTAGGGAGTATCCTTAGGATTGCTCTTTGATTAAATGAGTTGAAAGTTGGTTTTTTCCAAGCCCGGTAGAATCCATCATCAATTGCTTTTGCTATATTAAACAAATTACAACCCATATTATAAACCTTAGACAACCCATTAAGTGTGAGTTAAAATATGGATCGATCACCCATTTTTGCCACCTTTAGGGATACCTAAATATTTTTGGACAAGAAACTTGGAATTAGGTGATGCAAATGGAAAAGCTTTGAGAACACCAAAAAGGGAAAACTAAAGTTTAGAGAGAGAGAGTCTATCTTTTTATAAATCTTTTTAATCTAATGTGTATTGGGCTTTTTTATACAACCTTTCGAAGGAGTCTCTTGACTTTCTGATCAAAATGTTTGGAAAGTCTTTGTCCCTTTGGGATTTGGCAGACTGGTTTATGAGTAATCACCATGAAATGGAAACTTCTCCACCTAGTGGCTGACACAAGCTTTTAGGCTAGGGAGTGAGGTTAACAGGAAAAAAGAAAAAGAAATTGTAACATATTCACCGGGGGGTGGGATTAAGGTATTTTGAAAGAAGTTTCATATAAGTACACACTTCAGGAAAATGTGCACTCAACACCGAACTTTTGATGATTCTTGTGCTAATAGGATCGCGTGAACTGTTTGTCGAATGCTCAGGCATACTCCTTTCTTCCTTCAGGCTATGGTTACTAGATTCTCGTCAATCTCTACGCGAAAGCTGTCACATGCCCTGCAGATCCTCGCAGCTAAATGCATGGTTGCTACGAGTGACTATGATGAATTTCACAAGATGGCAAAGCGATACGTACTTGCAGGTGCATTGGGTGCGAATGCTCAGGCAAGCTGCCAGGAGACTCTTTGGGCATGTGCACCTGTACACATGCGTGCCTGCCAACCTTACATGCTTAAAATCTTGATTTATGTGGCATAACCAGGGATTTACTGCATGCTTGTGTGCATCTATTTGCAGAAGCAGCTATGGTCCCGCCGAGACACCATGATGGAAAACGTTTCTAGACAATTACATGCCCTTGTGGATGGCCATCCTCTTGAAGCGGTCATTTTCAGGAAAGTCTGCGAGAGTGAGCTCTTTGCGCTGGCACTGAAACAAGTAAGCTACCGCTTCTTTCCAACCTTTCTCGATAAAAAGAAACAAAAGCATGAGATCAGGGTCAATTGGTAATTTCATTGCAGGTTTTGGGACGAGATGTGAATTCCATATATGTGGAGGATCTTGGGACAACATTGTCCAAAGAGGAAATGTTCGAGGTTATGGTGTTGGACATGATGGCTGGTTCAATTGAGGTGGACTGGAGGGATTTCTTTCCTTACCTGAGGTGGATTCCTAACAAAAGCTGGGAAAAGAAGATTGAACAACTGGCTTTCCGCAGGACAGTGGTGGCAAGAACCCTAATCAAGGAGCAGAAACGGAGAATTGCTTCAGGGGAGGTAACGCTTGTTCTGAAGTTCTCTTGAGAACCTTAATCTGAAATCTTTTAAGGAAAAAAAGAACTACAGTAACTTGTTTTGCTTAACTTGGAAGTCTGCTCAGGAGACTGCAACTTGATTATTGCTCTTATTGAAACTGCCATCGAAATTTCTATATATAATAGTCTATATTGTGGATTAGGACACCTATTTTGTGTTCTTGCATTTTCTTCCTAAAATGCTTTAAGAAGAAAAGGCAAACAACTGGAAAGATAGGTGGTCCGGAAACAAACGTTTTTTCATGGATGGCTTCAAAAGAATTAACCGGTACTAAATGCTAAACAGTTTTTTAAAGCAGAAACCAATTTGGAGAAGCAGTTCCAAACACGGCCACTGTCTTTTCAGCTTTTCAACTTATTTTCTTGAATTAGTGGTAGCTTTTGTGGTAAGTTGGGTCACCATCTGAAGTGGGAAGCGAACAGCTATATTGACTTATTGATGTCCGAAGCCAAGACGCTTTCTGAGGAGCAGATTACCAATTTGCTTTGGGAGGTGATCATCCAGACTTCGGATACCACTCTGGTCACAACAAAGTGGGCTTTGTATGAACTTGCTAAGAATCCCAAATGTCAGGTTTAGCTAATTAATTAGCCTTTTTCATTTTTCCCATCGTCTCTGACTTCGTACATACACTTCAACTAATTGTAATTTCCTTGACAGGATCGAGTCATTGAGGAGATTCGAAAAGTTTGTGGTTCTGAAACCCTCGCGGAGGACCACTTGTCTCAGCTTCCGTACTTGAATGCTGTATTCCACGAAACTCCGAGGAAACACAGTCCAGTTCCGATAATTCCTCTGTGCTATGCACACGCAGATACCCAATTAGGAGGGTACTTTGTCGCAGCTGGAAGCCAGGTAGATAAGTAAACATGGTTTTTTTATGCCAATTCCGTGTCTCGGATGTTGGATTAGGAATTGAAACTCGAATTGTGTTGTTTTAGATTGCTATAAACAGACATGGATGTAACAATGACAAAAAGAAGTATGAGAAACCAGAAGAGTGGATGCCCGAGAGGTTTCTTGATGAGAAGTATGACCCGGCAGACTTGTTCAAGACATCGGCCTTTGGAGGAGGGAAGAGGGTTTGTGCCGGAGCTCTTCAGGCCATGTTAATATCTTGCACGGCCATCGGCAGATTAGTACAGGAGTTTGAATGGCGACTGAAGGATGGCGAGGAAGAAAGGGTCAACATGTTGGTATCGACGGATCATAAGCTTCACCCAATGCAAGCAATGCTGAAGCCGAGAAGATCGGAGTGAAGAAAGCATAGTAGCAACTGAAGTGGGAGCATTCTCTATGTAATCCAGTGGTATTGTCCTGTTTTGCTTCTAATAAATGCAGAGTTTCTTAGTCTTGCTGTGTGGTATGTGTTTCAACAAGTGCAGTGCCAGTATAAGTTAGACGTAGGACTAGTCTGGACGTCGCCTTTTTTTTGGTTTTGATGAAAAAATAAGAGGCTGCCACTGCATGAAGTGTCGCCTTCTTGCTATGTCATCATGCATGTAATGCTATTACCTCGTTATGTTCATCCGTTCAAGATCCCTTACAAGAACAAGATCACATTGCTTTGTGGTAAAAACTGAGCGAACTCAAATATAGGTTTGCTTGGGCAATGACCCATTCTAGTCCCAGAAATACTTAAATTGGGGCAATTCATGTTGGTTTTGGGTTTCATAAGTCGGTTGAAAGAATCATCCTCTTTTAATTCAGTTGGATTAGTAGAAACAAGAAATGCATGGAATTCCTTCAAAAGTACATCAAATTCATGATTTGAGCTGCTTTGTTGGGAAAGGAAGACAGAATTATAGATTGCAAAAGTTATAAGGACTACCAACATAGAATCTAGATTCAGTGGTAGGATAAGATTAAGATTTGTATGCGCTGGTCAGATTCTTGTGTTCAACGAGCTCTTAGATCACCTTTCGATATTGTCTGTTGTGTCTACGGTAAATGTACGTAAAATCTACCCATGACTCCTGAAAGACTTATTACACACCAAAGACTGACTATATAATGTTTGAGATGCAATTTAGATGCTTTTGTTCCTTCTCTTTTTGCTGACTTGTGTACACTGAACTATGGCAATTTCCATTAGGCCTATCAGATTGAAGTGGTTTAGTTTGTTTGAACGATGTTTACTTAAGAGTCTGAAGTGACGGCACATCCAAAGTATTTTTTAGCTAAATCAGACGAATCTGAATCACATTGAAGCCCCCATACATAGAGCCACTCCAAGATTGTTCTGAAAAATGAAAAAAGCTTCCTAAGTAGTCCTCAATAAGAAACATTAAAAGATTCAAAAATTCTCCAACGAACAATTCTTGACCTTAATAGGCAAGATGGAAAGAAAGTTAACAGCAAACTAAGAGTTCTCACCACCCATAGCTATCAAGCCATCAAATCATGATGCCAGAACAAGTAGGGGCACGAGCATATATATGCATGTTATCATTAAACTACACGATGTCGGGTGCTGCTTAGGATGTTTGATCTCCGAGGATCGACACTTCCACCATCCGATGAACAAGGATAGAAATTCAATGGTCCATCCAAAATTTACCACTCAAGAAAGAGTAGCATGTGGACAGTATAAGTCATCTTGGGCTCATTCTCACGTGTTCTTTTATTTCCTGAATAAGCAAGCACTCCATACTATAAAACTTCCATGGTTCACAAAAGCAAAGATAACATCCTATTCATACACTTGTAATTTGAACATAGAGAAAAAGGTCAATGTGGCTGAACCAGAGCAATCATGATATTTGCATCACCATACTCGATGCACTAAGGTAAGACAGATATACACACATGCAGTACATCTCCCACAAAACACCAAAACCTGCCATGGCATATGATTCCTGCAGATTGTCTCGCAGTAGTTTAAGAGGCAGCATCAGTTAAAAACTCAATCTTGGTCTCAGTTGGGCTTGAAGAACTTCAGCTTCAGTCCACTGTTCACCATGCTCCAGATGCCACCAATCGAGAAAGCCAGGCTAAAAGCAATTCCCAACCAACCAAGAATCCAGTTGAAATACCAATTGAAGCTGTATTTGGCTGGTCTTTTTATCAGGACCCACATGAAGCACGGGTAAGCAAATGTAACCGGAAGAGTGAGCCCACCAAGCAATCCCGCAAGACTCGAAAGGAAAGGAAGGGCCACACCTATGAAGAAGTTTACAAACCCATAGAAAACTCGGAAACCAGAACGGACCCAGATCGAGCATGGACGGTTAGTACGGCTTGTGTAGCTGGCCTCAAAGCTGTCGAATACAGGCATGGAGTAAATCTGGAAACTGCTGAGGCAGTTGAAGACAACTAGAAGGAAAGTCATTGCGAGAAGTCCTCTCGGAATATCGTGGCTGTGGAATCCATACAAGGCATTCAGGATTCCTCCTTGAGGCATCTGCAAAAGGGAACAAACAGATAATTTTTAGTAAGTAAATATCCTTAGTAACTGACTCTAGGCTGTTTTTAAAGCTGTGGTGATTCCATAACCATTGTTAGACAAGATCTCCATGGGCATTGCTCATTGCCACAACTATGTTAATGGGAGATGTTGTCATAAAGTTATATGACTATTTTGTCCAGTTTGAAAGTTCTCGCCAGTGTGATCTTTTGATGTTCATGCTTTCTTCAAAATTTTTGGGGAGAAAGTGAAAGATTAATACTTACTTGATTTCCATAGGCCCAAAAGCCTCCGATCGCAACAGGGAACAAACACATGGCAATGAAGAAATAAGCAACTTTGGCTCCTTTCCACATTGGTACATGAGCCGGGTGCTTGAAAGTCGAAGGCATTGTTGCCTAAACAAAGCCCAAAATTTTCATTAGGTAATAATCCATAACTTCTATTAAAGCACCAATTTTCAAGCAACAAAGCATCATAACTTATACCTGTATCTCCAGAACCAAATTGTGACCTCGGAATGCAAAGGCAACAATCCCAAGTGCATTCATGACCGAAAACACAGAAGCGGAAAAGGAAGGGAGAGAAAGAGGCTCGTACGAAATGGTGGGAGGTCTTTCTTGGCTCACTGAGAGCACCCACACCATTGTGGAGTAAGTGATTGCCGTTACGGCCCCCACGAGTGAGAGTCCAGCAATTGAATTAAGGTTTGGCAGTTGAGACAGCACAATACATAGAGAGGTGAAAACCAGATACCACTCCACAGTCGTCAGGGGATTTGAAGAACAGAGAGGACCACAAACTATTTGAAAGAACAGCTTCATCGTCTCCCCTCCGATGAGAATCAAAGCCGTGGCAGTTCCCGCTGATAAATAAACTGTTGGGAAGACAGCAAGCCATAGTCCTAACTTTTCCCCTGTAAACAAACAGTTTGAAATTATTCAATTAATGTACACTAATCATTTTGAGAAAGATTTACTCATGATGAATGTATCACCGTGCTAATTTGGTAAAATTCTTAAAACAGTTGGAGGATGGTCAATCCAAAAAAGAAGGAAATATATACCAGGATTGGAAAGATTTAAAGAAAGAAAAACCTAGAGGAGAGTTACACTTGAGTGTACAAACAAGCCAATTCAATGAGAAGACATGTATGTAACACTTTAGAAAATGCCCATAGATCAAAGTGAGTTGTATCGAATCCATTCTGGAATGAAAGCAGATTATCCAGCATGTCACATATCTATGCGCTTATCAGTTGTGAAGTCCGCATTCCATGCTTTCTTACCAAATGCTGCTTGTGCGAGCTCAACATATCTGTTGTATCTCTTGCCTGGGACTGCTTCATGGAGCTGAACTAGGATCCACAGGGTGTAAAGTTGCCAACAATATGCAATTGTCAACGATAGTATTCCCCAACTCCTGCGCAGTTAATAGTGACTCCTTAAATTCATAGAACTTGTAGAAAAGATGTAAAAGTTTTAAAAATGCTGATTACCATGACGTTTAATGATTAGCTTCTTTGTTCTTACTGGACAACTGACTGTCTTACCTAGGTCTTTTTATGACGGATTAATTGCAGGGTTCAGAAACCGTTAACAGAAACCATCATCTACGCAACTGTTACCATGCAACGACAGATGACTAAAACAAGGCCTTTTCATCGTTGCACAAACATGCAAGGTTGAATTAAGAAAATAACACAGTAATGGGACTACTCTGCTGTTCTGAAACATGTTTGTGTTGTTAGGTAGATACAGACTAAAAAACAGCCAAAGTGCACACTGTTATTATATACTATTAAAAGCAGCATCCTCCACTTTCCTTTATCTTCTTTTTCCGCATAGAATGAAAAGAAAGGGATAACAATGCAACAGTCAAACATATACAGTCTCAAGCCCAAGGCAACAGGATTTTTTAGTGGCCCAAGAAAGTGACATTTCTCTTGAATGGGAACGAAAGCATTTGAAAGGAAAAGCAAAAGATAAAAAAGAAACGACGTGACTTGCCTCAAGGATGCTTCTAAATCCACCCAAATCAAATCTATCCATAACCAACAAACAAATCTCATAAAGGCTCAAAAGATCACCAGCCCGCAAGACCCACAAGCCAAAAACTTTAGTCAAAGTCGGTACAAGTCGCATGTGGGAGCCAATTGAAGGAGGACAGCGACAGGTCTGGACTGGTCAAGATATGTAAGACCTTAAGACACTAAATCGGTACCAAGAAACTGTCGCGCAAAAGCACTGAGAGAATGGATACCAAAGAAGAAGAAAGCAAGAACAATACTATGAATTTCAGTGCTCTCGTATTCCAATTCCAGTTGAATAGAATGAGAGAGCGAAATTGTGAACAAAAGATAAAAGATCAAAAATCAAGAACAACAAACGTATGCAATGCATCCCAGATTGGCCGAAAGAGTTCAAGCTCGAAACAAATTAGAAAAATATTTCACTCAACAAAGACCCCCAAGAAACAAGAAATCCCCATTAAATGCCGAAAGCCAGAACTTAAAACTAGGTAGCTATAAATGCCTTTAGTCTCTTCTCAGCTCATCAAGAAGCACTCAAAACCCAAGAAACATTTCGTCAAACACCGAAACGAACGAAGCAACAAACGAACATCGTCAAAACTCTCACCAGCCCAGAAAAGCGAAGGCGACGGGGAGGAGGAGGGCCTGGAAACCGACGCCGGCGTTGAGGTTGTGGAAGGCGGCGTAGTGGGCGTTGCCGTTGCGGGACTCGGTGATGGGGAGCCACGCGTCCTGCGGGTTGAGCTTCGTGAGGTGGCCCACCTCCTCCAGGTAGCCCTTCATGTTCACCAGCACCCTCTTCATGGGCGTCCCGATGGGGCTGAGGAACCTCGGGGATATGAACGACGTCGGCGTCCACGCCGCCGACGGGGCCTTCCCCCCGCCCCCCCCGCCGCCGCCGCCCCCGGCCCCGGACGACGCGGCGGGGGGCCTGGGCGACCTCTGGCCGGACGGGGTGAGGGCCTCCGGCGTGGAGGCACGCGGGGTGGCGGGGATGGAGATGAGCTCCGTCTCCGGTCTCTCCTCCATGGATGGGGCGGCCGAATGTGGTTCCCTTGGGCGAGAGTTTGTCTCTGTTCGTGCCGTGTTTCAGTGAGTG